ACACACCTGAGCATATCTAAACAATTATGGATTATGTTTGGTTCATCAGTGGCGCCAATGTTATAGTGAATAGAGGACAGTGATTTACATGTCCTCATGACCTGAGTGAGCAGGGTTACATGTGCACAGAAATGCAAATGTACTCTGATTACTGGTGTTATTAGATTTTGAGGTGAACATGTAAGCAGCAAAATGTGGTAAATAATACTGAAATTGTATTGCCCCAGCTAGATTTCTCCTTAATAATGTGATTATCTTGTGTATGTAAACACTACTCTCTGCATTTTGGTTTAAATCTGTGCGCATCCAAAGAAAAATCTGAAGAGATGCTAAAGGAGGATTCTTTTTTCTCTATTTTTTGCAGTTGTCATCTGTAAAACTTGCTTGCAAAATGGGACATAACTGGCTATGTAGTATTTATTTTGTTTAATTATTAATTTATTCACATTGTTTAATAAAAGGAGTGTTAGCTCAGTTCTGTTAGCACCCGGTTATCTCTCGGGTCCAGGCGTGATTTATAATCTCCTCTTCTTTCAAACAGAAATGGGGAAAACATCCAGAGGTGCAGTCAGATGGGCTCTTGTCTTGGTGGAAGTTATTCAATCCTTTGTCAGCTGTCAAAGTCTTTTTTATACTGTCTGAGACATCCTGAAGGTGTCTGTTCATCAGGTCCCTTAATTCTTAAGCATCACTCTCTTCCACCAGACTTTAAGCAGCAAGTGCATACGGCAAGCATGACTTGTGATATCTGGAACATATCAGGATTAACTGAATATCTTATTTCTGTAGTGCATATAAATGTGTTAGATCTATAGTGTTTATATGATTTTCCAGTGATCGGATTTCCCCTGTGCAAGCAAACAGGCTCATTTCTGTGATTTTTCTTTCCTGAAATCAAGCAAACAAAACAAGGAGTTTAAAATTGAGTAAGATCTTTAATGCATTCCAGACAGATTAGGTCTTTTGTTTTCAAAGGTCAAGATAATGTAACAAAAGCGTGGTTTAATTCCTTTTGCGATATTCTGCTTTGAAAAGGTCGATAAAGTGTTCAAACAAAGGATGGCTGTGATGAGAAGCCACCTGATGCAGTTACATTATTTGCAGTGCATTTGGGCAACTTCCGGGACTGTAGAAAACACTGCCCTATCAGTAAAAAGTCCTCCTTTGTCTGTTTTACTGCTAGCCGTTTTATTTATGGGCTTCAACTTCCCCCAGATGTACCTGAGGAAATGCTACCATTGTTTGGTCATTTTAAACAAATATACATGCAAACTGTTTTATGTCAAACCACATCTGCTTAAGTTTTTCTGGCTGTTGTTTTCAACTAAGAAGTGTGCACTGCGTGTAAGTGATGCAGGTTGTGATCGAGATCTCTTTATCTAATGAGACTGATAATAAGGAGCTTTAATTTTGTCTCCTGTTTGCGGAAAATACAGAGCGCAAAGGAAAAAAACAGCAGCCCCTCTCTGGTAAATCTGCCAAAACCCACAGCAATCTTTCTAAGTAACAAAGCTCCTCGAATGGTCTATGTGAGGGGGTGGGAGGGCTGTGTGTGTGTTTAATGAAACATCATTTTGTAAAGTTCGACAAACATGTGGCGCTGTCTTTGAATTTCAACAACAGTTTTGTTTTGGCATTGAGTAACTAATGTGTCTCAAAAGGAAATAATAAGCAACTTTAAAAAATCAAAATTATTGAATCAGGCACCACTTCATATTTAGAAATGAATAGCAAAAAGCTCACATATTGTCAGTTATTGTTTTAAGACTACCTACCTACAGAGGTGTGATATTATAGAACAATATGAGGATTGGGTTTTTGCACTGGTTTTTGCAATAGAAAGTAAATACAGACCCATTATCCCCAAAATACAAGCGTTTATTAACAAAACACTTGTACTTCCAGTTATAATGCTTTGGTCAAGAGCCTTTTAAATTGATTGTAACATATAACTAAAATACTAAGTAAAAACAATAAAAAATAAATTATAAACTTGATAACATACAGAAAACTGTAAAAAAGCAACAACAAAAAAAGAACATGAAATACAAAATACGGTGGTTTAACAGGACTGCCTGGATGTATGTTATATTTAGAACCAGAGTTTGTTATGGGGAATTTAGAAGAGGACAATTTAGCTTTAAAACTAATTTAGAAAAGCATTTTGTATCTACCTAAATTTGAGAATGCAAAGCAGAAGAAAATAAAAAAAATATTTTTTAAGTATATTACATTAGTTTATAGCAATTAAAGGAACAATGCCAAAAAGTAAACCCCTATGTCAACATGCCAGACAGATGTAAGAAACATACATATACAAAAGAAAAAAAAAAATTCAGGCCTAGGTATGAATGTCCCACAAAAAGTCACATTAAATACAACAAAAACATTTTAAATAAACACTTAACAAGTTATGGGTTGTCAATATTTACTCTCCACCTTCTATTAACACATCTGGAAGGTCTGTTATTTCCATCTAGGCAAGAAATGATCTCCAAATCTGATCCAATAGCTCTTCTTTACCCTTCAAAGTGTAAGATTTCCCTATCCAAAGACATACATATAGTTTTTTCCAGTACTGATAATCCTTTAGCTTATGATAAGGAAATGTTAAGTAGTTCAATAGAGTTATGGTTCATATAGTTGTTTGGTGGCTATATTTCAAGAATCAACAGTTTTGGATTCCCTGGAATATTTACGTTTAGTATGCTTTCCATTCCAATTTCTATAGTGTTTCAGAACTTTTGTACCTCATCACATTCCCACAAGCAGTTCAACAGGGGCCTTTGGATTTATTGCACTTTATACATGTATCTGGGATGTTGCAGTAAAACATATGCAGTTTAACAGATTTAATGCATGATCCAATTAACCTGTAGAAGTTGAAGTCTAGTATTAACAGTCTGGGTGTGAGTTTTTAGGAGAGCAGCTTTCCCCTCATCTAAAGAAATGTCATGTTTAAGATCTTCCTGAATCTGTGCTGAATCTGTTAACTGAGGATTCTGCTGATGAAAAAATAAACAAATTGTACAGATATGAAATATGTCCTTTGTTGGAAGAGAGCATGTAAAAATTGCAAGAATTGATTTGGATATATTAAATTTGTTTTTAATCTCGTCAAATGACATCATTGCATCATCACAATATAAGTCTTCAATCTTAATTAGACCCTTTTTTTGCCCATAATAAAAACCCAGAGTCTTACAGACTGGGTTTAAACTTCCAATTAAAAACTTTAACGAGAGAAAGAAACATTCTGTCATAAGACAGTATGAACTTAATGCCAAATATTAACCATATTCAACACAATAAGGCTTTGAATTTGTCTTCTGACTTCTTTATTTGGGGCAGAATACAGGTAGCTACTCACTTTCAGCTCTATCTGAAAAGTAAAACATCATTATTCTTAAATCAGCTGCCAATTAATACATAAAAGGTTATTGTTAGGTAAATAATGTAAAATACATTTTTATAATATTTCAAAAATCTTTTTATTGCACTTATAAAAGAGAAAGGGCTCCCTCTTTGAATTTGGAACCTTTATTCGCCCATGCCAGGACCCACAGATCAACTGTTACACCACAGAACCTCTTCTTCTGCTACAGATACTACTCCCGCTATTAACAGTGACCTACTGTAGGACCCAGATCAGCTGCACCTGAACAAAAGTAATTAGATGTAATATTTAAACAATAGATTTGAAATGACTTGAAAAATAAGGTATAATAAACAAATCAATAAAATAGTGAAAAAATGATACTAATCAAAATTAAATATGTCCAGGTTTCAGTATTTTGCTGTGCAAGGAGAACAGCACACACAATTTCCCATGCTAGTAAGGACTATATGGACATGTTTAATGCACGTAGGTAAGAGTGGATGAAAGTAAGACAAATAAAACAGAAATCATTATGTTGCCATACCATTAGTGTGATAGTGAATTAAAGTTTGTTACACATTTCAAGCACAACCCAAAATATACTTGCAAAACAAAATTAAGTTAACTATATCTAGATTGTTTTAGCCTAAACTAAGTATCTCTGTTTGGGAAAAAAAAAAAAAAAAAAAAAACATCTTTTAATGCATCTGGCAGCAACATGGAGAAAACAATGATAGTTTAATAGCATGATTTAGAGAGATTGCTGTTAGAAAATCTTTGCCTGGCTTCTTGAACTGTTAGGTCACTTCCTATCCATCCTTCTACCCCAATTCAACCAGCTGTTTTGTGTTGTAAGAGGGGCTTTTAAACTTATTCCATAACTCAACTAGAAAGTGTGCTGGTTCTAAAATGGGTGTGTAGGTTTTGATGTGAAGCATAACAGTCGTGGAGTGGGGGTTAAAGAGAAGGTAGCATAAAACTTATGCAACAACTCCAAACTGCAATGAGTCTCCCTTCTTGGTGAGAACTGAATTTGAGCTCTTCCATAGAGTTTGCACTATGTGGGCATTTATAGTCTTTCCAAACCCTGCAAGCTACATGTTTCAACTCTTTGTAAGTAATCATGGACGACGGTTGTGTGATATTTTAAGTAGTTTTTTAACTCGAGCTTCAAGGACCGCTGTCCTGCACCTTTTAAATACAGAGTGGGGAGAGCTTGACGGCATGCTGAGGATGGGATTCAGCCATTTGATTCAATTATTGAAGCAAAGACACATCTCAAATGTACAGGATGTCAGATTTCAGTAACTGGAATCGAGGAAGCCTGACCTAGCACAAACCAAGGCGTTTATGCATTTAAAATTGAGGGATGAATAGATCTAAGGAAGGATTAGTAAAGCTGCATGAGATCAGACTGATCCAGAGAGTATCTGTCCAGTGCCTTATGTGTCAACAATTCAATTTTAAGATACATTCTTACATTTTTTTATAAATCTGTTCTTTCATCATCCTTTATAGCTTTGTCCAGGATCTGTTCATTAGAGCAGCATTCTGAACAGAGACACTCAGACCTTTATGAAAACCACAAACTTGTCTCTGCTTCTTCTTTTCTCTACATTAGGTAACTGGGGAGGAATATGTTCACAGTATACGGGCCTCCGTAATGGCCGTATGTCCACCCTGAATACGGGACTGATCACGATTCAGAACTACGGACAGTTCCAGCCTCCTCGACAGGTTCAGTTGACCTTGGCACATGAACTGGGTCACAGCCTGGGATCTCCGGTCAGTCCTCTCTCCTAACACTTAACATCCACACCTATGTATAACTCTAAAATGTGTTTATTAAAACTATCTCTAAAATTGGATCAGGACAATTTCAATTTCAACACAGACTATACCAACAATAATGACTTCTTGCTTTTTATGTCTGACTTCATATTAAAACACCACACCACTTTAACTATTTAACTTGTCATTAATTGCTTAACTCCAGACTTGATTATTTCAGTGAACCTTGTAAGGGGAAAATTGGTAAAAAAAAAATTTTATGATTGTGTTTTAACCAGTAGTCGTTTCCTCTCATTCTAATCTGTGCTTCAATCTATGTTAACTTAACCTGTGGCCATGAAACTCTGTCAAACTAATTATATAATATATTAGCATGTAAGAGCATGTTAATAAAACTAGGAATATTTTTACTAAAAGTATTGCTTTCAAACAATCCTATTTCTTATTATTTCTGCACACCCTTTGATTTGTCTATTAACACTTTAGTCTTAAAAAATTTATTTAAAAAAATAAATTGACAAATTGACAAAGTCTAAATGTTTTCTCAGATTTTTGCAGCAAAACAACCTTCCTCCCATCTTTTTAATATAGTCGCGTTTGGAATTATTATTAAGATTTCTCCATTAAGGTTTTAAAATGAAGTTTGATTCATTTACAATTTTTAATACTTCTTTATGTAGTTTCATGTTTCATTTTTCAGAAATAGATTTTTCATCCACAAACTTCATGTTTATTTTTCCCTTCTACAGTGCCCCTTCCTGCAAGTCCATATTTGCATCTTAAATGTAAAATTAACAAGTGCTTTTCTTTTATTTGTTTATTTATTTCCTCCAAAGACATCTCAGGGCAGTGGCCTAATCACTTCATTAAACCCAGATTCATCCAGCATGAAGTAGGCATACCGGAACAATATACTATACTGTCGCCTTTTTTGTATGACCTTCAAATATTTGGAGTGATTGTGTATTGATACTTTGGTGGGTGAGCACCCACAGTACTTATTTAGTTTTCACAACACCTGTCAATAAAAAGAAATACCATGATCTGATTCAAAGTAAATATTTTTTACTAAGCATACATGTGTGTTTGCATCAGGCTTGAACAAATTGTACCTGTTCACCTGAAAAGACACTACAGACTTTGGCCTATTGATTGCCTATTTTAGAAGAGACACTGGCGTCACCAAATGAGCTCTGATGTCACTAACATTCATCCATCCATTTTCCGTCACGCTTTATCCCTCCTGGGGTCGAAAGGGGTGCTGGTGCCTATCTCTAGCTCCCTACTGGCAAGAGGCAGGGTACACCCTGGACAGGTCACAAGGCAACACAGAGACAAAAAGGACAAACAACCATTCACGCACACACTCACACCTAAGGAGAATTTAGAGAAGTCAGTTAACCTAACGTGCAAACTCCATGTCACTAACATACAAATTATTTTATATCAGATTAAGAATGCAGCTCATTTGGTCTTTGACGTATTGTCTGACATGACATCATGACATCAAACATGATGACAGCAAACTCAGACCTGAATGGACTTTTGCAGCAAATGAAAATTGAACACTTATTTCTCCTGCCTGTCAGACTCAGGCAAAAACAGCACTTAGTGGAGTTTATTCACATTTGGAGGAGCGAAAACTCTAAGAAACAATCTCCATGAGATTAAATATTTTATTGGTTGAAACTAGTCTCTAAAGGGAAGATTTGATCAAGCTTAAAATTATGCCTTTGAATTGACCTAATAGGAGGGGGATTTTTTTTTTCTTAAAAGCAAAAGGGATATGTTACATTTTCTATCCTGTTAGATCAAAGCTCATCAATGAAACATATAGAAATTGCTCCTCATTTTCTAAGCAGGAACAAATAAAACACCCTTCACATATTACTTAAAAGTTGTGTAGAAATGGGTCCTCAGCATCCCTGATCCTCTACCATACCCAATAGTGGGCATTATAAAATATTTTACATTTTTCTAACCCACCTGGAGAGTTTCTTACTGTTTGTCTTGGCAAATCAAAGCATTTAACTCCAGGTAAAGTCCACATAGAGTTAAGCGAGGTGCACCTGCATACATTAATGGTGATTGGGAAGAAAAGGCTGTTTATTGCTCCAAAAGGAATCTCTAGAAATCTTTGAGCAAGATAAGTATATGTTTCCTTTTCCAGCCTTGTTTGTCACAGCTCTTACTGGCTTTTAAAGCATTGGATTTATTTAGGCAAACAACTTTATGATAGCTATTGCTGACTTAGCTAAGAGACTTACTAAAATGACATCACACTCTTCTAACCTTTTTGAAATATTGACCTGTGTCCCCCAGAGAAACAGAAAATAAGAGGTATCAAAAGTATTAATGTTTATTACTCCAGTAGAAGTATAAATCCTACTGTTTAAAACACTTTTGCAGATGTTAGAGTATCAACTTAAGCTTTTACTCTAGTAAAAGTACTATTTTTAAAACCAGTAAAGTATAAAAGTAAAAGTAATGCTGAAGAAAATGTTAAGGACAGATGCTTTAAACCGTATACTGGTTACTGCACTAGCCTATTAAATAAACACTTTTCTACAATTCTGGACAATAACTTCCTTACACTTATTTTTCTTAGTTTTATAACTAATAGTAACAATGTCAAATATAACTTTGCATCATCTTGAAAAAAACTTTATTTTGTTATGTGGCAAACAACAACTTGTTGCAGTACCAAATCCAACCAAAAAGAAATTCCTTTTCCAGATTCAACAAATTATTTTGATGGTTTTTATTTTTTACCAACAAACCATAGAGAACATAAGCTTAAATGAAACAAAACTAATGATTCTATTTTCAAAATGTATAGAGTAGCAACTAGAGATAATAAAAAAATATATAAGGAGTAGAAAGAATAAATCTAAAAAATGATTACTCCAGTGACGTATAGATAGCCAAAATTTCTACTTTGAAACCATTTTCAAGAAACTAGATCAAAAACTTAAGATAACAAATGTCATATTTTAATACATTTTTGTTGCTTAAAAACTTACAGGTACATTTTATTTCATTAACATTAGTTCCTTTTTTAACTAGGATGTTTTTTTGTTTTGTTTTTTTCATCTGATCAAATGCATTTAAATGATAATTTTTTAAAAAGAATGGGTGTTCTTAAGATACAGCATGGCATAGTATGCTCAATATATGGATGTGTGATTATATTTAGTTTAAAATTTTGACTTTACCCTTCTATGATGATTTTAACTGTAGAACTTTGAGATTTGTTTCTTAAATTTAAAGTGCATTACAAATAAAATATATTATTATTATTATTATTTTATTATTATTATTATTATTATTATTATTATTATTATTATTATTATTATTATTATTATTATTATATTAAATAAGTCTAGAGAATCAGTTTTTTGTCTTAAATTGTCAAAAATCACATATTTCTCACTGAGTTTCCTATTCTATAAAACAATATTCTTAATCAACTGATCTTATTGATGATGGGAAATGATGGACAAACATTCAGTCTTGAGATAGTATTTTCATAAAGGATTTTTGATTGCAATGTTAAAATTAACAAAATAATCACAGAAGGGAAACAGATGTTTCTCCCAGTAATAATTCCTTTTTTATACATTCAAAAATTATATTTAATATGACAAAATATTTCAATATTATGAAACATCAAATATCTAATTATAACCCTTTTCTCTCTTTTTATGCCATACATTTTTCTGGAAATATATACATGACTTTTACAAATAATAATTGAAAGCACATTAATTTTGCTTTCAATTATATTTGCTTGTGAGCTGAAGGTCCTGTGAAAATACAATAATAAAAAAAAAAAAACAGAATGTAGTGTAAAATTATAACACATGGCAGGAAATAATTCAAAACAGAGAACATCATAACCAAGGAACTACTTTAAGAAAAACAAAGCAGTAACATCTGCTGTGTCACATCTCCCTCTTATTACCCAGAGATTTAGGCTCTGGCTAATTCAGAGGGGAGCATAAAAGTGTCATTTATTACAACTGTCACAGTAATCATGAGCAGATTCAATAAAACCATCAAGGTTAGTTCCATAAGTTTTTATATGTTCATTTTAAATATTCAGACTGGTTTATTAACTCTCCTAATGGTCTAAAGTTCAAGAGAGGGCGAGTTTTACCAAATATTGCATCACAATACAGAACAGGAACCCGCTGCTCTGTCCTGGTTGTCATGCATGAGGAACATCACATTTCCTTCTTGTTTTCTGTTCAGTGATGAACAGAACATTTAATCGTGACAGATTGCTCCAAATAGGTTTCACATTTCTGAAAACCTACCAAGTAGTTTAAGCTTCACCACATCCAGCTGAGAACATTTTTCTGACCTGTAACAATTTTGAGGTCAGCAATAAAGGGAGTTAATTTCCACATCTGTAATAAAAAATGGAGCAGCATCATTCCAGTTTGGTTAGATGATTTGTTTTCTCCCGCTGTTTCTCCCAGCTGTTTAAAGTCACAAATTCACAACAAGAAGATATCCAAGTCTGTTATTTTGTCTGTGCCTCAGCATGATGAGGGCTCTAAGTGCGGCAACCTTGGCTCCTCTGGTGGCAAAGGCCGCTACCTGATGTTTCCACACGCCACAGACGAGGTGCGCGAAAACAACGACAAGTTCTCCCCCTGCAGCATTAAACATATCAGCAAGATCCTGAATCTGAAGAAAGATGAGTGCTTTGCGGGTGAGACACAAATACTAGCCCACCTGCATCTTTTGCTACGTTTAATACTCAAGCTGTAGAACCTCCTTTTAAAATCTTTTTTTTTTTTTCTCAGTCAATGATCAGCCCATCTGTGGAAACCGTATTGTGGAGGAAGGTGAGGAGTGTGATGTCGGTCACAATGACACAGATCTCTGCTGCTTCAGTGCTAGAGAGGTTGTAGGAGTCCAGTGTCGACTTAAGCCTGGTAAAGTCTGCAGGTATTTACTGCTTAAAACGTGTTAATCTAACCTGTCAGCTTTTAGTTATTATTAACATATTGAGTGCCCAGCAAAACCATGCAAAATAAATTAATTTTTTCACACTTTGTCAAGTTACAAACACAAACCCCTGTGTACGTATCTGGTCCACAGAATCAGCCCTATGTACTCTTTCACGCTTTAACACTTTTATTCAGCCCCACTGAAACATCCAGGCCATGTTAAAATTATCTCTGTGGATTGATGCTGCCCCCTCCATGTTTATCTTGGGGGTTGGGTAGGGGCATCTGCAGCAAACTGCAAACATGACTTAAGGTTTCTTTCAATAAGGGTTTTGTTGTTGCCGCTTTAGGAAAATGGCAAAAAGAAAAGCTGCTTTTTCTGTTTACAGATTCTCCTGCCTGAGCTGAGGATCTCTGCAGCTCCTGCAGAGTTACCAGAGGCCTAAAGGCTGATACTCTGATTAGTCTTGTCTGTATGAGACGCATTAGTTTAGGGGGACTATTTCTTAGATAAATTGTAATCCAGGAGATATTCCAGGCTTGGGATTCTGTTTAAAAAAACAAAAACCTGCTTTTTGTGCTGTTTCACCAATTTTATTAATATTTTTTGGTCATTGTGATGTTTTAATTTGAGCTTTTTTAAACAAAGCTCTGAGGTCTTTACAGAACAACTATATTACGGTAGTAATATTATACATACATGCTTCCTTTTTAGGTCATTTATTAGCTGACTGGTGGGGGAGCTTTATAGGTTGAGTAAAGGTTTGAAGGGGACCCAAATGCAGAGACTGAAGCTCATGGTGGTTTCTAGCAGATTTAATAACAAAAGGGGATAACTGACGAAAAACTCCAAAATAAAGAATTACCAAAATAGTAAACAGAGGGACATCAGGAAAAACACACAAGGAGCCAAGAAATGACAAGGAACCAGCAAACAGTGACTGAAAAGGAGGTGTATAAATGGGAGACTGAACAAAGGCCAGGCTAATCAGATCAGATCAAATCAGATTAGGAGCAGGTGTGGACAGAGGAATCGAAAAGCGAGCTATGGGAAGGAGACTGACACAAGAAGGCAAAAGAGGGTAAAAAAGAAATACTTAAGAACTCAAAATATAACATAACAAAAAACAAAATGGAAATGAAACAAATAAACTAGAAAACACAGAAAGACATGAATCAAAGTATAACTGAAAACTCAAAAAGAAAACTGTGCAGAATCATGACAGCGCTCTTTCCGAATTTTTATTTTCAAAAAAGATTTTTAAAATTATCCTTTGAACTATTTACCTAAAATCATTAAATCATGTGACGTTTTTAGTTCTAATGTGATAATATGTAGGAAAAATGCATTGGGAGGGCATGTTTCCATAATAGTGTGTATGTGTGTCCACATTCTTTTACCTGTTACTTTATCAGTCCTAGTCAGGGCCTGTGCTGCGGTCCGAACTGTGAGTTCAAACCTTTGGGTCAGATGTGCGAAGAGGAGGCCGACTGTGAAAAGGAGAGCATGTGTTCAGGCCTCTCTCCATTCTGCCCTGAACCAGACCCCAAGGACAACCTGACAGTCTGCAGCGAGGGCACACGCGTCTGCCTGAATGGGGTGAGACAGAGCCACGTTTTACACTGTGACCCAACTCTCTTTCTCCATTACCCAACAATTCAGGCAGCAATCCTGCAAAGCCGGTCTGCAAAGGGAAATGCTTAACCTTTAGATCCACACTGAGAAAGGGAAAAAAAACTGCTGTCATGATCCCAGTTTGACATATCCAGACTCTAAAAGATTGATTTATGCTTACTAAACTCACAGTTAAACTTGTTATTTGTTTATTAAATTTACACATTTGTGAGCTTCCTGTTTTGGTTCTAGCCTAATTATTTCAACAGCCATCTGGGATTAATTTGACAAATCACAACAGAGCTTTATTTGCAAACAACTACTGCAAAGAATTAGTGGGAAAGTAGCTCCGAATCACACACCTCCGAATCCTGTAGCATCCAGTACACTTTTTTTTCTAAGTGAATTTATTCCAGCTGTGATTGTTGCTTTATCCCTCTCCAGATGAGCAGTTTGCACTAATCTCTGATGACCTGATTCAGTTAAAGGAATTGCAGTACCTGGAAAAGGTTTCTGAGAAAAATTATTCATGCAGAAATAATTAAGAAACAAAGCATGATTAAGGTTTAAAAATGTGTCAAGATTTCTGGTTACTCTTTTTTTCTGAAAATTGTATTTAGAGGCAAAAAAAAGTCAAAATATGAATGAAGAACAGTAACTGAAGCTGAAAGAAAAAGACTAGGGAACAAATTGTGGAAAAACAGAACATGAAAACATAGCAATAAAGTCAACAAAGTTGACTGAAACAAAACCAGATAAAAAAACAAGCAAAAAACAATCCAATTCAAAACAAAAATACTCCAAACTCATTGACTAGGTCTAGATCACATTTGGAAAATATTCCGTATATGGGATAAATATGAAACACTTTCTCCCAGCCATCCAGAAGGTAGGCTCTAAAACCACTGACTCCAAAATTTGACTCCTAATGTAAAAGTAATTTTTCCAGATGGAAAATTTCTCAGATTCTGCATCAAATCAGGCTAAAGGATTTCAATTATTGAAACACTGGAATCCTGGTGACTTTGATACAGGTTCTTGACCTTTTTACTTCTAATTAAAGACTGTGTAACAAAAACTGAGGTAATTGAATTCAACATGGTTTAACCTGAGCTTGAAGCCCCAATATACTCATTAAAAACTTTTTGATATATTGCTATCTGCCTCATCAGTGTGAATGGGTGTCTGGTTCTGTCTGCAGGTCTGCTCTGAGTCTGTGTGCATAAAGCACGGCCTGCAGCAGTGTGACTGTCCAGGATCCAACATGAAGGAGAAATGCCACGTTTGCTGCCAGCAGCCTGGTAAACACAGAACCTTGTGTCCTCCACCGCTGAGCAATCTGTTTACAACTCTGAGCCCAAACAGCTTATCCAGATGTTCTCTCCTCTCCAGACATTTTTCAGTCTATAAATCAAGTTTTACTTTGATCATTAACACATTTGTATTTTAAACAATGACCAGACACTGTTACCAGTTTACCTTAACATATATAGATACTCTACAATACAATAGATAACACAGCCTAACTGTGTATGTTTCAGGTAAGCCACAGACATGTGCCAGCACCTCCTCCTCGGTTATGTCCCGTCACTTCCAGAAAAGGTTGCTGCCTCTGGTTGCAGGCGCTCCTTGCTCAGGGAACCAAGGATACTGTGACAAATTCCATGTGTGTCGGCTGCTGGATGCAGACGGCCCAATTGCCAGACTGAAGAACTCTTTCCTTCATTTGGATGATTTTGACGATCTGGGGGAATGGATGAAGGTGATTTTTTATTTTATTTTTAAATTGTATCTTTTTTTTCAGTCACATAATAAAAACTTTTAGTGAATGAGGTTGACTGGTGACTAATAAATAGAAAAATTAAGGTTTTAGTGATCAACAAGGTTATTCCCTATTCATGCTCGATATTTACCCACTCTACTTTGGTGGAGTTAATAATTTCTCGAAAGCTGAACAGTCTGTAATTTCCCGCTGGGATTATTAAAGTATGTCTGATTCTGAGTTCCCCTCCATATCCATTATTCTATCTTATTAGTTCAACGCCCCACTCACACCGGCAGGCAAACAGACCCACACTATGACGATCCCACCACTTTTCTTGGCCGTTGTTGGTAGCCCTAATGCTCTTTTTTCTAACCACACCTTGTTTCCTTCAAAAACACTTGTGTGTCAGTGTTTTTCCATGTTTTCAGTGTACACTACTCAAAAAAATGTAAGGAACATTTTGTAATCAGAGTATAGCATCAAGTTGATTAAATTTCTGGGATATTTATTTGGTCAGGTAGGTAACAGAGAGGGTTGTTAATCGGTTTCAGCTGCTTTGGTGTTAATGAAATTAACAACAGGTGCACTAGAGGGGCAACAACGAGACGACCATGAAAACAGGAATGGTTTTACAGGTGGAGGCCACTGACATTTTTACCCTCCTCATCTTTTCTGACTCTTTCTCACCAGTTTTGCATTTGGCTATGGTCACTGTCACTACTGTTAGCATGAGGCGCTACCTGGACCCTACATAGGTTGCACAGGCAGTCCAACTCCTCCAGGATGGCACATCAATACGTGCCATTGCCAGAAGGTTTGCTGTGTCTCCCAGCACAATCTCAAGAGCATTGAGGAGATTCCAGGAGACAGGCAATTACTCCAGCAGAGCTGGACAGGGCCGTAGAAGGTCTACTACTCATCAGCAGGACCGGTATCTGCTCCTTTGTGCAAGGAGGAGCAGGAGGAGCACTGCCAGGGCGCTACTGGTGTGAATGTCTCTGACCAAACAATCAGAAACAGACTTCACGAGGGTGGCCTAAGGGCCCGACATCCTCTAGTGGTCCCTGTGCTCACTGCCCGACACCGTGGAGCTCGATTGGCATTTGCCACAGAACACAAGAATTGGCGCATAATTTTTTCACTGTAATTTTTTCTTTGAATTCAGCCCTCTGTAGGTCAATGATTTTCATTTCCATGAAATGATGTGGCATCCTTTTGTTCCTAACACATCACCCAGTCCATATCAGTATAAATAAACGACATGATTTTTTTCCCCCATTGAGATCTGATGTGTTTTCAAAGTGTTCCTTTAATTTCTTTGAGAAGTTTAGAATCCTAAGCTTGTTTGTTTACCTTCCAGCCATGATCATCCTCAGCATTCAGTGTTTCTATTGCAGTTGTCTTTGAGGTTTAGTTTTACACAACAACGTGGAGAATCTGGAATGCTCATTTTGTTTAACCACTTCTCTGGTGGTTTTAACACAGCAGGGTTCCTGTAATCTATTTCACTGACCGGACAAGTAGCCTATCATCATTAACTCTTGATGTTGTTTCACCAAGATCTTTTAATGGAAAAAAGAACAAAGGTGCACAAAGTTAACACTCTGGTAAAATGCCTCAGGATGTTTTAAAAAACTCTGCCCATTATTACACAGACAGTCCTGTTTAGGACAGAAAAAAATCTTTGGCAGATGTGTCCTTCTACTTACGAATCAGCTGGTTTGAACTGTGTTTACAAAAGTTAGTGTATTAATATATACTACTGTTTCAGCTATGAGCTAATTTCCACCTGCAGGGTCAAAGTAGAGCAATATGCAGATATATGCACAATACAAGATAGTGTAGTTTGAAATTTATAATTTTAACAGTGCTATGAATATTTTGTCATTGATTATGCTTGTGAAGATTCTCAGTCATCCAGGTCATACTCATTCCAAAAATGTTAAAAAATTGAAAAAGCTTCCTGGATGGGAAGTGAAACATCAACAAACTTGGAAAGCAAAGTTCAGTGGGTTTTTTTTTATTTTACTTTTTCATAATTGATTATGCTTTTTTTTTTTTTTTCCTTCTCTGCAGGCTCATTGGTGGGCTATCCTGATCGCTATACTGGTACTGTCTGGAGTAATGGGCTGCACAGTCTGCCTATGTGGCAGGACCTTGAACACTCGGGACCTGGACTGACCCTTCATATATATGATGTTGATAACAACAAAAAAAATATTAATCTCTTTTGCAGACGAGAGGAATTTAATGTATCTGAACAATGCTAAAGTGATGCATTTAGAAAGCCTTGTGCTGTCTTGCAATCTGAGATCTTGAAATGACCTCTGTGGGTGCTAAACACCTGCTCAGCTCTCCTCATGCTAGCTTGTCACCTGATATCTTTGTATGATTTATTTTTATCTGCTTTTAGCAATCCTTAGGGAGCTGGTTCGCAGTAAAGGTTCCTCGATACTTGTGCTGTGGAAAATGTTTCCAGCCACCATGGGCCTGTGCAGATTTCTTTAAAGGGTATTGCAAGCTGTATTTTAGGTTGGCCATGTAATTGCACCTGTTACTGCAAATGCTGAAGTTAAGTAAGTGGATTTGTGCATTGGATATGGTCCATCTTTCCATCTTAGTTTAAATTAGTGAGCATATGGAAAGGATGCCTGGAGTCAGGGCTTAATTATGTAAAAGGTGAACATCTGACAGCAGTTCTGAACAGACTTGAAAAGTGATTCAGACTCTTTGAACTTTTTTCACATCACATTAGGATTTTATTCTATGGAAAAAACACAGTAGCCCAATATTAGCCTGTTACCTATCTGCTAAAGTTTGTGTAATTTAATTTTTTCCTTTTTTGTATAAACACAGCTGTCCAGTAGAGACTTAAATATCCATCACAGAGTGAACAATAGCAATCTGGGTAAAAGTTTGTTAAAAGATGAGTTAATTTTTACTATCCAACAATACAATGACCAAATATGTGTGTAGGAGCGGCCTAGTCAAAGTTTAGACAAATCTTAAAGGTATAGTGGAGGATGTTCTTTTTCCATGTGGATCATCTAAATAAGTGGTCCTCCTAATTGTCATTCTTGGGATATGTTTACTTAAGGCTGTCCTACATGCTCATCCCCATTTTCATTTTACCGGTGTTGAGTCTGACATAGTGGAAAAATTGCAAATCTTCTTTTGGAAAGTAAGCTTGTATGAGCGATGTAAACTGCAGCTTTTAAACAAAGTGTGCATGAGGAGAATGGGCTCATGCATGCTCCCGCAGCGTTCAATAGGCATTCCCTCTCAGGAGCGGGTATATGGTTGTGCATGTGCAATTTTTTCAAAGTAAAGAGGGCGGGTCTTTTCAGAAATTCGTGAAAATCTTCAAATATACTTTTAATCTAATCAGTGGCAAAAAAATATAATTTGTTTCAGTGCACTGACTTCAAATGCACCTTTTAATTTTTGATAATCAGAATTGTCTTTTTTTTCTCCTCCAATTTACGCTGATGCACCATTTTTTTGTTTTATGCTGAACTGTACATGTTTTTGGCCATTAAAAAAGGCAAACAGCTGTGAACTCCAGCTGTGCAGCTAACTCGCATGTCTGGATTCGAACACGCTCTGTGTCACCTTGACACAGTCAGAGAAAAAACTGCGTCACAACAGCAGGAACATGAAAAAATAACGCATTTCATTAAGACAAGTAAGCTAAGACCTTGTTGATTTTTTTTTATCACAACTGTGTGAGAGTTTGACATGTTCCTTTGGATCAAAAACAGATTTTGTTTTTGGGCTAATAAAGTAAAACTGGGCGACAGTGGAAAGAGTAACGTTCAAATAAAGTAGTCTTACATTTAGAAAACACAGTTTATTGAATAATGTATATTTAGTACAGTGCTTGACGTCACAAATATAATTACAAAAAAAAATTATACATTGAACCAAAGAGTTTACCTTTAATATTGTTTTCAGTCAAAATATGCATTTTATTTCATAGTTGTATTTACATTGATTTACAGTAAAAAAAAAAATACTGTTCTTTTTGTGCATTAGTATCACTTTTCCACTTTTTACAGTAACACGGATAGTAGTACCAATCCCTATAGAGCTAACGGTCACATTTCAATTAAAAATAATTAAAAAGGAGGATAATGACCATGAAACTCAAAGGAAATATTTATGTTAGCTAAACGCTGCACCTAACAGCTGAATTCATAAGTTTAATGCAGCGATAAATTACCTTCATATGTCTTTGAGTCATAATGTATATAATGAATTTAGATCAATATAACAGCAGCACAAATAATGTAAAAGTAATGCAAAATTAGAGCTTTGTTTGCTTCATAAAAGTCAGAAAATCAAAATGACAGAATTGAAAGTCACTAAGGTGAAGAACAGAGAAAGGCTTAAACTAATGCTCACTGATACTTGTGCCAAAGTCATGAACAGCACTGAGATCCACAGTGGTGAGTGTTTAGTTTTACTGGGTATACAAAAACAGCAAGATCAAATCTGACCAAGTCTGAAGCTAATCAATGGTGCATTTTAATGTAAAAATTCATTTATGAGTACCTTCACTGTCAGGCATTCTTCAACGTAGTTGTAGATAAAAAATTTTAAAAAAGGAGCCTCTCACTTTTTTGAAATATGTTATGGTTTCATCCTCCGTTTATCCAAACATTTAACGAATGTGACTTCCCCAGAAGAATTGTGGGAATCAGGGTCTGTCAAACAGAAAATGATCCTGCAAAAAAGAAACATGTGAGACGGTCATTGGCCCCTTCATTAACAGGCTCCAAACTAGTCTGAATGCTTACGCCAGATTTGTAACAGTTATTTCTAGAGAGCAAATCCATTTTTATTTGGAAGCAGACATTTCTGCCGTTCATGGAACAAATAACCAGTTTTAACTTCATTTATAAGTTAAACCCACTAGAAGACTTTTCTTTGAAAGCAGATATTTACATACTATTAATGCAGAAAATGTTCAGACCTAATTAAACAAGTGGAAAAAAACGGTAGACAAGTATTTATGATGCATTATTAGGGAAGCGAAGAGCAGTCGTGTCCCTCAGATACTTTTTCACTGTGGTTTTCTTGAGAAAACAAGTTAATTTTCTCATTATCTTAAGATAACAAAAGCCGTTTTCTCGTCATAACGAGATGATTGGTGTATGTTAAAACTGATTATATCCTTCAATACCACAACAGCGGGAGAGGATTTATAAGTATGAGACATGGAGGCCAATGTGAAATTCTTTAAATAATCCTTTGTTTAACTTTTAGGTAACGAGACGACGTTGTTGGTTTTATGATTTGCTTCCACTTCTGATTTATAAAAAATTAGACCTATGCCTCCAGCCCCTTAGCTCCTGGTGTTACGCCTGTAACAGGTATAAGATGCATTAACCCCAAAAATGAGTCCAGATTAAATTTTTTCATTAAAAAAGCAGAGTTGTTTCTACTGTAACCCACGCAATCCAATTATCAACTATGACCTGGCAATCAGAAGAAGGGAGTGGGAGATCGACAGGCGGATTGGCGCAGCGTCTGCCGTGAAGCGGGCGCTGTACCGGTTCCGTTATGGTGAAGAGAGAGCTTAGTCAAAAGGCGAAGCTGCTCTCTC